TGCTCGAAACTTGATGAAAAAGTATGTGTGAATGGTAAGACAAATTATTTTACCGTACTTTGTCTCCTAATGACAAAAATATTAGTCGGCGTAAAGATCGGGTTCAGCGTGCACCGAAAACGGCATACGTGGTGCGGAATATGTTGAATAAATATGTTATCAGCACCCACCGAATAATTTTCCAGATAATTTTTCTCCCAATATAGTATTATGAAATTGAATAGCGAAACAAAATGTCTGTTATTTCCGTGAAAATCTGATACAAACAAGAGTGAGCGTTACATCGCCGGTCTGACTGAACTGGTTATGACTTTTCATTATTTTGCCCAGCCGTTGGCTTAATTATTTCTTCAGTCGCTAGGAGAAACGAGCGTCGCGTTATTAGCTAGTAGCGACGTTAGAACACAAATTTGTCATCTTGTGACTCGCGACACTTGTGAAATTCAATTTCTACCCGGGGCGCTGCGTACATCGTTGTATCGCGCGCCATTGCACCGTTCGTACAAATCCAATTGAACCCGATCGATGTAAAAGTTCATCGAGATAAAAGATTGCTTAACGGGAGTGTGTATACGGGCCACGAGCAATTATTTCCGGCGCGTTGTACATACACATATCGCATATACGATTGATTGAGAGAGACGCCGAAGTTCCGTCATATACTCTAGGAAATTAGTCGTAGTCGTCGAGGGGATATACAAACCCGGACTTCTTTCTCTATCATCCACCACCACACCCCTGCTGATCGCTTTTCTTTCTTCGGTTAAGGGTGGCGGCGGTTGCCTCAACCCCGCCCTGATCCGTAAATATTGGCGACCCCGTAACAGCTCCTCGTAAAAATCACTTGATTACAACCCCTCCCTCATCACCTAAACGCCGTTCATCAGCGCGTAGACCGCGATGAAAAATAGACGTTCGCGCGTCTCCTTACAATTATCCGGTGTATGGCGGCAAAAAGAAGAAAGAAAAAAAAAACAAACGAACAACGAGAACGTCGTTTTGTTGCGATCCCGCGCGAACTCGGTCGCGAGTTCGGAATTCTCGAGCTCACCCCTTCCGGTTTTTACTGCTTTATTTTCGAATCCTTCTCGGCATTGTTATCGTAGATCGCATGTGGTTTTTTTATTTTAATAATCGAGCGATAGCTCGGTACACACACTCGAAGAGAGTTGTAAAGAGACGGTCGCACGCGACGCGGAATCCTCCCCGACTCTCTGACCTCGAAAGACACGGCGAGAACACGAAATAGCGTAACAAGTAATTCGGTTAAAGGGAGAGATTAAGAGATCTAAACTGTTTCCGCGTTTTATTTATCATAAAACCGAGGCGGATTAATCCTCGACGTGATGAAAGAGAGAGAGAGAGAGAGAGAGAGAGAGAGAGAGAGAGAAGTTTTACGCTCTTCAGGGATATGAGAGAGATCGGAAAGTTCGCGGACTTAAAAATCTTTTTATCACATTATGCGAGTGACGGCCGAGCAATAATAGCCCCGACTAACTAGGAACAACTTTTGCGGAAAAGTTGGAACATCATGCCGCACTTTACCCGCGAATTCTTTAAACAATATCTCGCTGATTGTTCCTTAAAAGAGAGACTGAACGGCGATTTACTTTAAAAAAGGAGGAAAAAAATAGAGAGAAAGAGAAAGATAGAGGGAGAAGGAAAGAGTGAGTGAGAGGGGGGGGGGGAGGAGAAGAAATTCACGGCTATTCGCGCGTCAGTCGACGAATTGTTTGCAATATCCGATACTTTTTTGCAAAAGTCGCGTCGCTCTAGCTCGATAACGCGTATTGTGTTACTCGCGATATTTTTTTCGGTTGTAATAACAATACATAGCCGCTAGCCGCGCAACGCGCGCGTCACCCTCGATATTTCAATAGGCTGAAACTTGATACGATCTGATCGATAGTTCGTCCATATTGTTGCCACGGGGCGGGAACGTGCCGTGTATATCGTTGCGTTATGTAACCTGTTAAGTGGCTTTATGTTGTTACGGATTTTCGAGATTATCGCGTGTACATCGACGCATGGGTAAGTTTCGCCGTGTTCTCGCCGTTTTACGCGTAATATCGCTCGTAATGCCGCTACTTATTATCTAAGTCGTCACGGCTGTCGCGCGCTTTTAATGATAACGCCGATACGGCGCTCGCCACGACAATCGATTCGACGACATTCCGCAAAAATCTCTGTATTTATACCTCCTTTATTACTCCCTTAAATGCCTTCTGAGTGCGGCTTTGTTCTCTATATTGGGAGAAAAGTGAAATTTTGTTTAAGTGAACGAAATTTTTGCAAGCGTAACGTTTAGTCCATTGAACAAGTTATACAGTTGCTATAATGAATTTTGTAATGAATTTTCTGCGTAAAAGGAGCAACGAAGTTTTTACAAATACATTTTTGTGCACTAATAAAAGGTAATATTTTTAGACGTTAAAATTTTAGAAAATAAATCAGAACATACTGTCGAGCGTATTCAGATCGTTTCCGAAGATTTAACATTATCGCGCCAAATGTCTAGCGACATCCCCAGTTGAGATTTTAGTTCTATTTTAACTCTAATGTAGTTCTACATTAAATCGTCAAATGTCTTCTATTGTAGTTTCTATTGTAATTATCAATTGATTCAACAATTGATTACGTTTCGGTCAGCAACTGTATCGACCCAACGTACATGCAGAGAATTTTTCTTGGAGGTATAAATATTCATATAAACCGAAAAAATAAGTAAGAAAACTATAATAGATTTGTCGGGATAGAATGGTGTTAAATTTAACGCATTTCACATGTTTCAAACGGTCTACTCAAATTTTCTTGTTAATTTAACACAAAAGTGAATATGTTGAAAAGTAACACAAATATTATATCAAAAATTAACACGAAATTAACGCAAAATAATACATTATCCAATACTGAAGTGTAAAAGTACTGAAGTATAACACTTATACATGTTGAATATCGATACAACACAAAATGTTGAGATAATATGAACGCAATATTTTAAATTAACAAACGGGTCATATAGGAAACCTAACGCAAAAATTTGGGCGGGAATCGATCTTAATACAAGTACAAAATATTTTTATTGTGTATTTATAACGTCGAAGCAATTTTAATACGTATAAAAAGTTTAAGAAACAACACGAGTTTAAGAATGACACCATTACAACTGTACATCGCAGCCCCGAAACCATAGTCTATACCATAAACACAACGAATATCCCGTCTTTCTGTCGTTTTCATAAATGCGCATACACAGTTGCACTATATGCTATACAATAGTTATTACTCGAGATAAAATTTTTTTCATACCGGCATTAGAAATAATGTGCAATCCAAATTGCAAACTTGGAAAATGCGTGGAAAATGTATACGTTAACATGGGATATTTTTTACCTTTCTCGTACTTTTTTATACATATGGCAAATTTATATACAATTAAGTTAAAAATATATCTGATTAAACTATTGGTTTTTGTTCGCTATTATATATAAATTTTAGCTTTCGTGAGTATGAGTATATCCTAATATTGCAATCAAATCTAATAAATTATACTATTAGTATGCTACATGATTCAACAAAAAGCTTCTTATATGTTATTGTACCAACGTTTAATTTCTTTAGTGGACAAATATTTGTTTTTTTAATGAGTAGTTACTATCGATTTTGTTGGCCCAGCCATTTTTTCCCAGTGTAATGATTCTGCTAAATATGTTAGAGAAATTTTTGTGAAGATGAAGGACTTTCGGAAAAAAGGGCACGAAAAGTATAATATAAAAGCTGCATTATTATTTTTCGTAATGATAAACATCTATTATTTATCATAATTTACGCCATCAGCATTCTGAAGGTTGATGACGTACGAGTGTGTCTTTACGTCGAATTCGAAGACACTTTTCGCTTACTTGCGAGGAGCGATCAAGTTCCTCGGTATTTAAAGGGTTAACCCTTTGCGGTATCCGACCGCTTCGTGGTTCACCTTCCGGTGGTCTGATTATTTGCTCATGGCAAGCGAGCAATGTACCTTCAGTTAATTTTCGGCGTAAAAGGAGCAACGAAGTTTTTACAAATAAATCTTTGTACACTAATAAAAGATAATATTTTTAGACGTTAAAATTTTAGAAAATAAATTTGAGCATATAGTGTCGAGCATATTCAAATTGTTTCCTAAGATTTTAAATTATCGCGCCAAATGTCTAGCGACATCCTCAGTTGAGATTTTAGTTCTATTTTAACTCTAATGTAGTTCTACATTAAATCGTCAAATGTCTTCTATTGTACTTTTTTGGCGCTACAAATGCAGAAGTTATTGCCGTTTTCTCCACTTGAAGATTTAATGCAGAAGTAGAATTTAGACTCTACATGGAAAAAACTAACTCGATTATGGCAACCGAAAATATTCAGTTCATTGAGTTTCGGTTACAGTAATAGCCTTTTTTCACTAACTGAAGGGCTGCTTATATCAACAAATGCTTTCGGTTCGGGGAACCGAAATTTTCCCTTCCAAATGCGTTAATGCGACATATGCTGCCGTTGATACGACGTATCAACAACGTTAGCGGTCCTGCAGTCGAAGGTGACAATCTCAGGACCAAGAAGTTTCAGGTTCAAGTCCTACCAAGAGAAAAATAATATTTTTGTCGAGTAGCAATATTAACTCAGTTAAGATAACCGAGTTCAATTGTCCGAGCAGCGGAAGCATTCTATAAGAATTTTTCTGTTTCTACAGTCGAGTTTTCATTTGGTCCCCAGATAACAAGAAATTTCGCTTGTCATGACCGAAATACACGAACTGAATTTTTTTTCCGTGCAGAGGTCTCGATTCCCATTTGTAGCATTAATTACTTATTGTGCCTCTTTGATGCCACAAACAAGAACTTATTTCCATTTCCTCTCTTTGAGGACTTAATGTAGAATTTAAAATTTCGTCTCGGGTCGTCACGACGGCTGTTTAAGCTGTCTTACGTCCTCATTAACGACGAGATATGCCGTTTCTGTTTCAGATTCTTCTACCTGTATCACTTCTCTTTCTACGCATACCATTACCGATTCAACGGGCAGTATAGCAGTTTGGCTCTCGTCACGTCCTGGCTTTTCATACAGGTGAGTGTCGCAGCCGTAAGAGGCCGAATATTCCGTCGTGCTCAACGTCAGCTCGCACCTGGGTGCTGAACGTGGACGGCCGGGTTGATATATATTATTCATCGGCGTTACATCGGGGCGATATCTCGACTCGCGCGCGCAATCGATGAGAGTGCACGAAGAATGCAGTCCGGGGATAAATTTTCGCGCGTACGCAAATAGCTCGCGCGCACGCACGCGAGTATTTATGCGGCGTATTTCGGGATTAAAGTAGCGCGCGTTTTCCGTTCGCGGAGATCGCGGGAATAATCGTCTTCTCTCTCCTCGCGATAAAAACTCCCACGGGAATAGAAAAGTTTCGCCAAGGAAAAAATTGCTCTTTCGCGCATTGAAGCCGGGCATTGATCACGAATATTCCCGTGACCTACTTGCGAACACTTCAGCGAGTCCGGGAGGACAAATACGTCTGGTCTAAAAGCGGAACAGAGCGGAGCGGAGCGGAGGTGACTTTTTCCATGTCTGCCCAGCTAGACCACCCCTCTCCTCCCTCCCGTTTCACGTAATACAAAATGAATAATAAAGATATACATCACCCTGTATATATCTTTATTATTATAGACACTCTTCCCAAATTAATCTCGGTTCCCACGAGTGAAACTGAGCGAAAACATCGTATCATTTTGTAAAATTCGCGATGGTTAGGTTTAATAGGCGCCGTCGTGATTGACGATTTTGGTTCGTAAACAATGAAACGTCTGGAAAACGTGGTTACGACGAGAATAAATGTTTAAAATTTGATTGAGATAACTAAGAACAATTGGCTGAGACTTCCTGCAGGAATCTTTCTGTTCCTACAACCGAGTTTTCAGCTGGTCCCCGGGCAACAGAAAATTCAGTTACATTGAGAAGAGATCTTTTTTTCCGCGTAATATTATCAATATTTTTACTGGGCGAGTCAGCGAGCGATCATTACGACTGTTTGCACGCACTGAGAGAAAAAATATCTAAAAGATGAATATTTATTCGGTGGGTCACTAATAACATATTCACTTAAAAATCTAAATTTCTCTATTTAAATAGAATAAAAATGATTGTTTTTTTTTTAATGAAAAAATACGGCTTTGAGAAAATGTATATTTTCTCATTCGGAAACAATTTTTCTCCGTGTTATAAATATATATATTAATCTGAGTAAATATATTATTAATACACAACCGTGAAGAAATGTTTTTCTTTTTTGATACTTTCTTTCTCCGTTTTTACGTTTGTTCGTACGAATGAATATCCGCGACTCGCGCGAAAGTGAGAGTGAGTTATCCGTCCGCCAACAGAGGAAATCGAATTTTACAATGTTGTTTCCTTTTTTTCCCCCCGCCGCGGTATAATAAATTCGAATTCGTCACCATAGTTTGTGAAGGGAAAACACCGGAGATTTAGATTACAATTACCGTGCAGCTCGGGTTCGGTAGATCAAACACGCTGGCAGCATCAATTCCGTCGCTGTTCTCGCATTGTATTAATTAATAACGATATTATTACACAAAGCTTTGCGGGATTAACTTAGCGAGATACGCGCGCCGAGAGAAAACAGGAAAATAATTGAAAAATGCGCCGGCAAGAAGTATTCGCGGTTGGCATTCGAAAAGCTTTGCGTTTCATCACCAAAGCATCGATACTACAACACAACGTACGCACCACCCGTCGCGAGATTAAGTTACTAGCTTTATAAAATAAAATGGCATCGATGGTGTGCTATGCATGCGAGAAACGATCAGTTCTCTCTCTCTCTCTCTCTCTCTCTGTCATGATTGAATCGTAAGCAAATTCACAAAAGAAGCGAATCTGAATTGAAATTTTGGCCTTATGTTAAACTTTTAATTTTACAGCACAGTAGGAACTAAAATAACAAAAGTTAAACTTATATATATATATATATACTTTAATTCTAATAATATAATTTACTTCTATTTCGAGCCCGATGATGTCTTAAATTTCCATTTTCGCGGTTTTACCATCAAAATAGGTTGTTCGAAATAGCATTAATTTTTTCCGGTCGTAATAGTTGTGAACATCGGTACCTTGCCAGGAATATCCTGGACTTCGACTGGAAAGAGTTAAAATTAAATCTGCATTCGACGAATTGAAATTGTAATGTTATTTTGACGTTTTTAAAAATAGTTTGCGCTTACTTAGATGGCCCATAGATCAATAAGAACCAGTGCGTTATTATATTTTAAAAACATTTATATCTTCCCACAATAATTTAAAATAGTATATTGCTACAACAGCCGTGATTAGGTTCTTATTGGCTGTTTCATCTTTCTTTGGTTAGTTTATGTAATTGCAGAGTCTATGTATGAGTTTGTAATAAAAACTTATACATTTATTATGTAACCTCACACATATAACCTGTATATTATATATATTTGACGATATTGGCACGAATATTAATTTCTTTCTTGTATCTGTTAATCTACAGATTTAAAGGAAGAATTTATGGGCTTTAAGGAGCGATGCATAGATTTTAGCGCTATTAGATATTAATATTGTCAATATTAATATGTATTATCAGTAGGATATAATGTTTGAATATGTAGTACAGAACGTCCAAGCAACATACCCTCCATATTTAAGCATAATATCTTCCTAATAATACATATTAATTTTGACAATATTAATGTTTAATTTGGCTTTCGAGTTAATGTTGTGCTCATTCATGGATTTGTTCCCGATGTTTCGTGAGCATTTCAGTTTACTTCTTCAGAGTGAAGTGTAACCCGAGATTGTTTTATTCGACACTAACAATATCTAACAGCAATAAAGAAACCGTATTTCGTTTCTTGAAGTCCATAAATTTTATAGATTTAATTTTAATGTTACTTTGAACAATTTATTTTGGCTTTAAAATGGCGAAAACGAAAATTTAAGACATCATTAGGGTTAAAATAGGAGTAAATTATATTATTAGAATTGAAATTGTGTCATTTTTAAGTGCAATGTAGAGATCGATTTTCGTAATTTTCACACATTCCCTTCATTATGGGCGATACGTTCTTAAGAGCATGAAAGTAGCATCCAAATTTCGACTCGGGGATTCGTGCCGAGCCGGTAACGAGCGAGCGCGGGTACTTCCGTCTTTGTAGAAATAGCTGAGAGATAGATGAGGGGAAAATGGGAGCGCAATATTTTGCATGCGATCCCATTGGCTACTGTCGGGAGCGCTCTGTTATTGACAGGAACGGTAGCAACGGGACGAAGAACGGCCGTGGTCGCTCTGGCTGGATAGCCTAGAGCCGCCATCGCTCAAACTTAAGTTACGTAAACGCAAACGGGACAATGCTCCTGACAGCTCGATCGATGGGAATAATTTAATGCGGCTTCTTGCCTTTCCGTGTACAAATGGCGCATAAGGATACTTTAATGCGGGAATCTCGTTCGCGTTCGAGACGGGGCGCGCCGCCTCGTCGTTCTTTCCATTAAGAACACAGCCGGGCCAACCGGCCATCCCCCTCCTCTCACGGTTGTGTATCCGTGACATATTGTCATTTCCCGTCCATTAGGAACATACCATTTTCCGTGGTCTTGACCTGAAATTTCGCACGGTGCCTTATAATTTCACGATAACTTTTCTTTATCTGCGCGTCACCTTCGTCGTCGTCAGTCTCATCGTCGTCTCTCGCTCTTTTCCTCGAGTTACAAATTAATGTTTTGTCGCGCTTATTTTGCGATTAATTGATGCGTCGTGTCGCTCGTTCGCGCAAATGCACGACAGATTGATTTCTACCGGGGATCTTTTAAACACACACGCGTCTCGCGCGTGAGACGGACGAAAGAGAGAGAGAGAGAGAGAGAGAGAGAGGATCGTCAGTCGTGAATACGATGAATTCACCTCGGACTCTCGCGATCGATCCGATCGAGGGAAATATCACTCGAATTTTGGCAAAACTGCGCGGAACGATCGCGCTTATAATAGAACATTTCGTCGTAAGCCGGCCGGAATTTCAGAAACAAATTTACCGCTACGCCAGTAATACAACCGGGTAATCTGATCGGAGGGCGTACTTTGATAACGCAATAACTTCTCATTAGATGATCGCGATGGCCGTATTAACCGGTATTATTATAATGGCGTTACAATAGGTAACGCCTCTGCGTTAATAACTACATTCGATATTCATTGTGTATATTTCATGCGTAAAAACCGAATACCATTAAAGTTTAATGGAGCGGTTAATTCACTCGAGATAAAAGGTGTAAATCGCCGCTCGTCACATTCCGCCGCTTCGTTATGCGTTATTCGGGGAGGATAAGATTACCATTATGTTACCTATCGTGCGGTTGTCGGCGGTTGCCGATCATTCGTCCCGAATTATTATCACCGGCCCGATTGACGGAGGATGCGCGATTTTTCGCAACTTCCCGTAACGCGTGGCCGTGAATCGACGGCGGTAACCGCATTTCCATCAACGGATCGTGTCTCTTAAACTCGTATTAACGCAGTCGTTACTTGAAACGTGTCACTCACGTGAGATATTCAGATATGAATTTAGCGTTGCACTATATCTCAGTTTCGCAGTCGTGAATCATACGACATATGTGACATTACATTTGCCATCATTCGAGTGGAAAATTCGAATTTAACTTTGAATTCATGATTAAATTCAGAATTGAATATTTCACTTGTGGCAAATTTTAAGTAACGACTATTAATACGGGACTCAAGCCCGTATATTGACAGCTGTTTACTTAAGATTTGTCCAAATAATATATTCAAGTAAGGTATTTCAAGCAATACACATATACATGTTCAAGTATTCAAGTAACATATTCGAATATAACATTTCAAGCACGATATTTAGTTTTGAATGTAGAATTAAATTCTAATACTTTCGGTTGAGTCACGATTATAAATATAATAACACAAGTCTCAAATGATTCGATTGAAGTACAGAGAATTAATTCTAAATTCAAATATGAACATTTAACTTGTGAAGCAAGTTTCAAGTAATAATTATTTATACGGGATTTACAGGCTTGCATATTTACAACTATTATATGAAACTTGTTCAAGTATAATATATTNATATATATATATATATACATTTAAATATTTATATATATTCAAATTTAGATATATTCAAATATATCAAGTATAATATATTCAAATTACATATATATATATTCAAATATTTAAGTAACACACTTAAATAAAATATTTTAAGCACTATATTCAGATTTTAACGTAGAATTAAATACGAGTTTTTCAATTGAATCGCGACCACTAATACGTCACAGGTACCGTAAAACGGGGATGACTACACATGAAAATCTAACGCGAAGCCGAACTCTGTGTTATTGATCCCAGGTAATATGAGTTTGAAGTAACGACTGATTAGTACGGGCTTTAGAAATTCGAACTGGACGCGAGTCGATGTCGCGATAAATCGGTCAATCGGTCAATCACCACCGTAATCGTACGCGTGCGAACGAGACGCGAGTCGTGCGTGACGCATCTCGACGCGATTCGAGAACGCGATCGTCGAGAGCGTGCGCTTCGTGAATAAACCGATTTTACTCATTACGTCGCCTCTGATAGCAGTTTCCGGCTGACAACCGGGTTACAGGTTCGTTAACACGATCGGCCGTTTAACGAGCGACAATTATTTCCTGGCAACGAGTTTACGAATACCGCGCGGCGGCAAAATTCGAAAGGCCCGCGGGCACCCGTCGGCCGAGAATCGTTTTGATTCCCGTGGATGGCAAAACTCTTCTCCTTCTCTCTCTCTCTCTCTCCCTCTCGCCGTTGCTGTAGGTCAGAGTTCAGCCGATTAGCCCCGCGGCGTGATTATACGCCGATTCGATATTGATGTCATTGGCGTTAATCATCCGCGCGCCAAACGAAAACCCGATACACCCTCTCTCCTCCTAACCCCTTCGTTCTTTTCTCCACGTTCGCTCGTCGTGTCTTCCGTCTCNCCCCTTCCCCCCCCCCCCCCTCTTTCTCTCTATCGCGAGAGATCCGCGCCGCTGGTCTTCTTTTTCTCAAACAGCGCGGAATCGTTCCGCTCTCGCCGACGAATCACCGGGAATAACATTTCCTTCGCGTCGTCGACAGGTGCCCGGACTCGAGATATCTATTTTCCATATCCAGGATTTCTCTCCTTGTCCGTCGGCACCTCCGCCCCCCTCGCTTTCTGCCCACCGCCCCCTTTATCCGCTGCCTACGCCGTCATTTGTTTGTGCCCTGGACTTTTCAATTTTTCAATGCGGAGAGAGCACCCCCGAAATCGCGCTTATCGATCTCACATCGATTGTCCTCGCCGCTCGTTCGTCATTCCTCCCCCTCCCCCGTCCGATTCTGGAAACTAATTCTTCCGAACTTCGATTCGGGCCGTCCGGGGGTTCAATCTGCGAACGCACGCGCGGCCGAAACGCGTAATAAGGTAATCGAGAAAACGGCGAATTTGTTCCGCTACCGCGGAGAGCGCGTGCGAAGGGAGGAAGCCGCGCGTTATTACGATCGGCGGCTGCGGCGCGGTCGATAAGGCTCAGCAGAGACAGGTTTCGAAGCGATTGCGGAGAAAGAGCGAGCATATAGCTGATATAGAGAACGAATTTGGCGAATTTCCATATAAATTTGCTAGCCGCGAGCGACACGTATATGCGGGCCGCACACGCGGAACGGACGGGCGCGCATAGAGCCACGTGCGTCACCGAAGGGAAGGGACGTATCCATCCGCTAGGTGAATCCTTGGCCGCTTCCTCCGCCGGCGACAACGGCCGAACTCGTTCAGATGGAAGGCGACGCGCCAGGAACCGCGCGTCGTCAACTTTACAAAGCGACGATCCAGTCCGACTTGCGGCGCGCGCAATCCCATCCGCTGGTACATCGTGTGACGACGTCTGCTTGATTCGTCACGTATCTTTACCGAGTTTTCATGTACATTCCTGAATACCTGAATATTTCCTAAATGCTTATTTCAACGTAATACTACAGTTATTACTTTAATTTGTAAATGCATTATCGAATATAAGTAAGCCGTTGCGAATTTAAGAGAGTATTTAGCAGAATGATATAATATTTTATTTTTTATTGAAAAAACTTAGTGTTTTGGTTATGTGGTAATTAGATTGTATATTTTAGAATAGACAGAATAATCTCCTCTGTTTTCATGCACAGTTCTGAATACGGTTCGTCAACCTGAATGCACAGAAACAATGCCGGGATCAAGTAAACGTGTAATTACTTGTTTCTCAGTCTTTTAAATCAAGTTAAATTTTCTTCAATTGGAGTATATTTCGATGGCTTGCAGCAAATGCTTACTTTAACGCAGTATTACAGTTACTACTTCAATTTGTAAATGAATTATCGAATATAAGTAAGTTGTTCCGAATTTAAAGGAGTATTTAGTAGAATGATATTATACTTCCTTTTTTATTGAAGGAAACTTAGTGTTTTGATTATGTAGTAATTAGATTATGTATTTTAGAATAGGCAGAGTAATCTACTCTCTGCCTTATGAATACCGAAGACTATGAGAAGTGAGCGTTACATCGGTGACTAGCAGCGTTAGACACAAATCTACCACTTCGTGGTTAAACACTCACGAGATTCATTTTCTATTAGGGAAGCTTCTCTGCTCTTTTAATCTTTTTCTTCAGAAAGCTGACACATATGTATACGTTTAGACACGTCTAATCTTCCTTGTTCAACTCAAACATTATTGGCATAATATAAGGAGCATTATTGTGAATAAGCATTCATCACAAACTGCCACAAGAAAAGGAGGAATCTTATCATATGATTGGCATGTCATATTTATGTCATTTGCAATTTTCTTCCGATTTTAATCAATTCATTCCTGAAGAATTTTAATATTGAAACAGTCAATAAGTTCAATTTGATTTTCCAATTGAATCAAACTTAATTTTATACGTTGCATTCCGTGGAAATAAATTATTTGTGAAATAATTCTTTACTAACTGTTCTAGCGACATTCGTACGGAAAATAGAAGACAGCCGATTTGTTGTCGAGAATAGAATATATTGAACTCAACTTTTGGACCGACTCGACAACCTTTAGACATTCTAATTCTTGCTGTAGCACCCAGCGACCTTAATACTTCTTCGTGGTACCTATAATATTATATCGATAGCTAAGAAGTGATAAAGAACGATATGACAAAAGTAGTTATTTCCAGATTTTTAATTGATCGAACTCGGAATTATTTTGTCTCGCGACATGTAAGAGCTTGTGTCAAAAAACAGAGTTATTTGTCAGAAAATTTGATAGAATTGACATCTCATACCTTCGGATTGTTCACAGTAAAATCAATTTTCAAGACGGTTTTCGTTTCTTCTAAAGACTTCTGATCTCGCATGTACGAGGTATCAATTCTTACCCGTCGACGTTTTATTCACTACTTCGAACATTTCTTCTCACCGTTTGACCTGTGTTTCTCGCTGTTATTCTATTCGCGAAGAACCACCTCCGCTGACCTCGAATAAATTCGCGAAAAGCGTAGCTATTCTAATCGAGAATATCGACGTGTCTTCTTCTCTCATTGCAGCACTCGATGCTGTACTTCTTTCACCACTACGAGCTGCCGGTGATTCTGCAGCAGGCGCAGCTGCAGCAACTGCTGTTTCGAAATCACGCTCAGCCGACGGCGCAGCCAGCGACGCCCAGCACCGCTCCGACCACACCGGGTCCGTCGCCGACTACAACACCTTCGCCGAGCCCGAATCCATCAACGCCTACGACGGAGCAGACGCAGCAGAATTACGTCGCCGAGCTTTCTCAACTCGATCCGGAGCCTAGTCCGGAAGAACAACGCGCGAATGCCAATACAGAGCGAACGTTCGCGACAATGACGACGACGACGACGACGGTTGATCGTCGAGAAGACTCCGGTGGAGGTACGTCGGAGGTACACTAGTATTTTCCTATTAGTCTCATTCGGCGATCAGTCGATCGGTGAGCCTCGAGATTATGATTAATTAATTAATGATCAATGATGATTTGAAACCTGATTAATTACTAATGATTTCTTAACGACGATCGATCGATTGATTGTCACGCCGCACGGCGAAAATGATCGGCTGAATAGCGCGATAATAAACGAACCAAATGCGTTTTCATGCGAAGGCGAGCTGAATTTCTGTTTCTGACGAGCCAAATTTGGTTTCTAGAATTAGAAATTCTGTCCCCTTCGAACAAAACGCACTTAGCTCGGTCATTGTCGCGTTAATTCAACCGATCCTTTTTTCTCTGTGCCGCTCTTATGAATCCTTTCTACGACTTACAGCTATTTCCCGTTTCCTTTGTTTCGCCAATCGCACGCGTCTTCTTCTTGTCGGGCACAAATAGATGCACGAAGTGGTCCTAATTGCTTCTAACTTTAATCAATAATTAAATAACTATATAAATATCAGTCAGCTAAATATCAGATGCGTTTTTTTTTTTAACACGATCAAGCGAGATAAAGTCTATTCGAGATAGAGTCATATTTTTGCGTAACTTTNGGGGGGGGGGGAGGAGGGGAGTATGAATAAACGAAATTTCGCTTCGCTTCATATTTAAAAGGTTAAGCGTGCCATCGGATATCGGATATTTGATCCAGCTTCAATATCAGATGCAATTTTTCTCATTTTTCTGTGGCGGTGCACGGTGGAGGAACGAATTAACGGGTTATATTATTGCGATACGGTTTGATCATACGCCGCATGGTGCGTACGTTACTCCTGTCGTAACTTCCAGCGAATAGCTGGAGAGATAAACCACTTTTCTCCTCGCGACGCTTGCCTTTACGAGCGAGTTTAATTTTATGAAGCACGTAGGAACTCTCTTCTCCTCTCTCTCTCTCTCTCTCTCTCTCTCTCTCTCTCTTTCTCTCGCACGCGCGTACGTATTATAGAAATATGAAAGGGAAGAGTGCATTACGTACGCGAATGCTCGGCATGCGACAGATAGACACATTGATATAAGACAAATAGACAGAGAGAGAGGGAGAGGTAGAGGGGGAGAGGGGGGGGATGGTGGTCTTCGGCAGTGAATTTTTTTCGATCACGCGCTTGTAATCGGTAATTCCATGATTACACGCTCCGTGCGCCGGTAATTCCATGATTACACGCTCCGCGCGCCGTCGCGCTCGGCTCGTTCGGCGCGCACGTTCCGTTTTACCGGGTTTGGAGTTTTGAATGAGCACTTTGTAGATCCTGTGTCACCGACACTCGTCGCATTGGAACGCCTACGCACGTGAGGGGAAAGGGGAGGGCGCTCGGCACGCGGTGCCGTCGCGCGATATCGTGTTTCAATTCGAACGATCCAACTAGCGTTGATTATTTTTCTGGGCTTTTAATTTCACCTCTCCTCACTCTCCGCTCGCGACTCGCGGATAATCGATAATCGTTTCAACGCGCGTACACGGCCGATACACCGGTAACCAGTTTTGTTTACAGCTGTGGTCGCAGTTCACGCGGTCGCGGGCTCCGCGCGAGCGTTTCATCCCGCTTGTTCTCGCTCTAGAAAACTTGCTCTTTCGCTCCAGTTTTTATTTTCATTTTCTTTACATATGTGTTCCGCTGCGATTAAAAAGCACCGGGATTGGCTTATTTAAACTGCNAAAATTTTTTTTTTTTTTTTTTTTTTTTTAGATTGATAGAACTGTTTCTAACCTCTGTCTAAAATTTCCTGTCATAATCTTTCTTAGTCTACGAATAAACGCTTGTTTAGTTATAACTGAGGAAAAGTATCTCCGGCGGTTTTTAACATGTCGAATTTTGTTGAACGAAAATTCGCATCAAATTTTGTCTTCGGAACGAAATTTCCTGTACAGAAACAGTGGACAATCGAGTAGCGTGCTAAAGGCGAGGCCAATACCTTCTTCGTCACAGTCGGTCGAAAGTTATGTTGACAGTTTTTTTCGATTATTTTGGTGCTTTGCACCAGAAATTTCTTCCAATTGGTCAAACTGTCGACAAAGAATATTATATGAGCGTTATCCGTCGTTTGCGTGAAGCAATCTGTAAAAAAACGGCCGGAATTGTGGCGAGAAAATGTTATGGATTTTGCACAACGACAATGCTTCCGCTGACACCTCTTGTCTTGTTCGTGAATTCCTGGCCAAAAATTCAACGAATACACCACTACACAATCGCTCCGTATTCGCCTGATACGACACCGTGTGACCTTTCCTATTCCCTCGGCCGAAATTACTGATTCGTAGGCACCGTTTTGAATCGATAGACACAGTAAAAGAGAATTCGCTACGCGTTCTGAAATCGACGTCAAAAGGTGTTTCGAGGATTGGGAAAAGCGTTGGCATAAGCGTATTGCAGTGGGAGGGGATTATTTTGAAGGGGACGAAGCAAATTTGGACGAATAAATTCATAGTTCGCGTCTTACTGGACCAGTCCCGGTACTTTTCGACCACAGTAGTAGGTGTATATATTTTTTTTAAATTAAACGTGCGCCCATTCCTCGTTCAATCCCTCCCCCTCGTTTTCTTTGTATCTCGCGATAAACCACGCATAAAAGAGACGCTGCGTTGTCTCTTATCTCCCGTATGTCACAACAAAGACCGATCTCTTAACGTTGCATCGTAGTGTCAGGGGACGCGACAGTGTCATCCGCCGCGTTGACCTCTGCTGCCGAGGAGGCGGCGGCGAGTCCATCGGTCTCTGAAGCCACGACATCAGCCGGCGGGGACACCAGCAGCACCAACACCACCAGCAGCACCACCTCGTCCTCCGAGGGCTTTGAGGTGATCGAGACCGCCGAGGCGATGCGCAAGGAAACGACGTCCGCCGTGGAGACGAAAGAACATTAGGCGCTTTCCTTGCATGCGCGCGCGCGCGCGCGTTACGCCGCCGGGGCGAGGAGAAGGTCGCTTCCGCGCGACCGCTTCCAGCGACTTCCTCCCTTCGTCGAGCAGCGTTTCTCTGCGTTCAGGGACGATCGGCCCGGCGACGGAGAGCGGTTACCTCGTCATCACGGATCGAACTATGTAATGTATAGCGCGACGTAAGCGAACGTAAAGTAACGCGCGGTATCTTTGCGCAAGGTCTTCTTCACGTCCGACGTCGATTTCGACGGTCGCGGGGCTGGCTGACTCCTCGCCGAGTTGTCCTCGCGTCCGTCGGAGCCGGTAGCCGGGGAAGCGAGGATTTCTACATGACGACGCCGGTAGTTGGAGATATATAGATTTTCAATGGGAACTCAGCGGGGTCGGGGGATTTATAACGGAGACGCGGCTGTAACACGATTCGATGTTAGATTCGCTAGATGCGAGAAGTATAATAAAGAAATTAGATGTTATGCAAAAAGTAGCTTTCGGGGGCGATAAGACACGTAAAACACATACATATAGACACACACACACACGTACACGCGCACACTATGCTCTAATCTCGTCATATCGTTGCGTATCTTATTTTTCTCCGTTCTCTTTGCGCCCCTATCGCGGGATTCTGCCACACTTGTCATTCTTTTGTGACGCAAATAGCTCCGTAAAATACAGTGTCTTACGTTTCACAACTGGCGCACAACGCCGCGGTTCGAGAGATTATAAGAGGCCTTACATCTGTTTATTTAGTGAGAAAGAGAGAAAGAGAGGGTGAGAGAGAGAGAGTTCACTTAGAACAAGAGGATGAGAAAGAGTTATACGTTAAGAAGCGATAACGCGTAGTGTAATTTAATATTATTCGTGTAGATATATATACACGCGAGATCGTTTCGCGTGCCGACCTGTAATTTATTCACTTTGCAAATACAATGTTCCCCTGATCGTGCGATGTGGATGATTCGAGATATCTTTTCGTCGTGTACCGCCAGTTTCCGTTTCGGCTTCACCGTTCGTTCTGTTTCGGTCACACGAGTCGGCCCAGGAATCATTTGAAGGCCGAGATGCGCGAAGAGACGATTCAGAGGTGGAAAACGTTCAAACTTCCCGAGTCGAAATTTCAGTTCTAACATTAAGTCTCCAAGTAGACGAGACGAAAATAACTTCTCATTTGTAGCGTCAGAGGAGCATTAATAGAATTTCTTTGATACTATAAAGGGAACCTAGACTTTACGGGGGGGAGGGGGGGGCGGAAATCTGACATTTTATGTTAAATCTTAAAGTAGAGGAAAACGGAAAACGGAACTTCCCATTTATAGCCGTCAAAAGAAGCGCAAGACCTATGGAGATTTAATGTAGAACGAAATAGACTTAATGTCAAACTAAAATTTCGACCCGGGGTTGACATTGGCCGGTAGTCATAGTCGGATCTTATATTTAAGACCATCTTTTAAGTTCATCTTCAGATGCTTCGTAGCCAAGGAAATAAGCCGTACAGCATCTGAAGATCAGCTTGAGACAGTCTTAAATATAAGATCCGACTACGAATGCTGGCCGTTGACTCGCCCCAGATTAGTCGCAGAAGCCTAAATGCTAAGGGTCAGCGCGCCCTTGAGACTCGAGTTCCCGCCGAAAGATTCTCCTTTCTCGGCTCGCCAGCTAGCAGACGTGGAGAACCGCCGTTCGCACTTGTCTCCACACCTTCTCGTCTCTTGAAAAATGGCGAACAGCTGCCGGTGAGACCGGGTAAGACTGCAGTTTCTGAGCGCAACAAGTCAGAGAGTGCCTTCGCCGGAATATTGTCCCCTCCCCCCTACCCTACCCTTCTCCCACTCTTCCGCTCGTCCCACATCGCCGAATAGGAGTAGAGTTCCTCCCGCGCGAACAAATTCTTTTTGTCGAAACAAAAAGGCGAGTCGTGAGGGCGGAAGGCGACAGTTGCTCGGGGTTCTCGCCATGGCGATTTCGCTAATTACGTCGTCATGGTATTAGATAATACGCGGATACACGTGGACGATGCCCGCCGACATAATTAGTGGAGTCACACGCTAGATTCGCTGTGCGACCGATCGTAATGTCCTAATATACTTTTTCTTTTTTTTTTTCAATTCTATCTCGTTTGTTTCGTTTTATATGATACCAGTTTTCCGTTTGGTGTCCACGTAATAAGATTCGTTTATATATTTATATCAAATGTTACTTCTCTTTTTGTTTGTTGAAATCGAGTCACCTTTGAACGAAACAGATACATATTGCTTCGCTGCTTGGATTTATGTTTGACTTTCCGCCAAACACGCGTTTATGTGTTCATTGATACATACGTCAATTTGGCGGAAAATCGCTTGTCCAAATGCTTCGGCCGATTGTTACTAAATAAATGTATTAGAATACACACACACACACACACACACACACATATGAGATATACATATATATACACATAATTATAAATATATAGTTAACCATATCCAAATATATTTGTTTAATTATCTCTTTCTTTTTTATAACACACACACACACACGCACACATACACAGTTGTATTCACTCGAATCAGGCGACGACTTGGGATCTTTGATTGTATGACAATATGACTATAGGACTCGTAAGGATGTGAGACGTAAAGATATCCACTCGTATGTTTTACGGAATACTCGGAATTTTGCTTCGCTCGTTCCTCGAGATGACATCTTGAGGATTCGCTGTTTTCGAATACAATTATTACTTCAGCGCGATTTTAATCGGTTTAAGTTGCAATCGTCGTTCATTACTAGATATGGCGAGACAGGGAGACTACGTTATTATTATTATTATTCTTATTATTATTCTTATTATTATATTGTTGTTGTTGTTATTATAATAATAAGCAGGAAAACGGTAGTGCGAGCAGAAATGCGTAAGAAACGCGATTTCGCGGACGGAGACCGCCGTCGACGGAAATATCGTCGGTGTCGTGTCTTCCTCCAATCCGGCAGGCGTCCTCGTTACTTAGATGATTTTAACGGTAATCGTTGTAATATACACTAGCTCTACAATACATTAGTTTTGCGGTCTACGTAATATTGAACGACTGTATATTCATTGCGTGTATGCGTGCGATACCGAGATTTTTACAGGTGTGTGATAGCGTTAGTCGTGAGAAAGCGTTAATACAGAGCTCATCATCGGCTGCGACAACGGCGACGACGGGAGAGGAGGGGGGGGGAGGAAGGGGGAGAGATATTTTTTGCACCTACGGTGCACACGGGAAAAGAAAATGCACCGAGAGAAGTGAAATCCCACTGAAATGATTGTCATTTTTGACGACACGATTCTATCTTCTTCTAGTTTTAATCCAGAAAATAGTAATTATTGTTATTTATACTATACAGTTACTAGACAAATAATCCTCTTGACAATATTTGACTTGATAATTTGTTCACTCATGTGTGCCATTATAGTTACAAAGAGTAAACATTTTTTTCTCAATATACTGTTACAATATTAGAATCGATCAACAGCGTCACAACTAGAGCGAATCTTCTAGATTCAGTAGCAATGCCAATGAAACTGATACATCACACATTTACAGTTCGAACAACTGAGGTGTGTGATGGTATTAGTCACGATAATGCTATTGAGTCGAGAAGATTCGTTCCGATTACGACGTTGCTGACCGATTTCACCGATAGGCGCAACAGCATTTTCTTTCCCGTGTATTTAATTTCCCGTGTATTATTGCGTGTTGGATTGTGACTCGCCACAACTTGGGTGCATCAGGTCACCGTGAACGCGTCAAGCCCTAACAACGTTTCTTGAGATGCTCCGGCGGACACGATAACACAAAAATGGAGAAGAAGAAAAATTCATGTGGCGAACGCTACTCGATAATGACAAGCACGACTAAGCTCGGGAGAGAGAGAGAGAGAGAGAGAGAGAGAGAGAGAGAGAGAGAGAGAGGGGAGTGGGGTAGAAGAGAGAATTATTTAGGAATATATACATCACCCAGGCGTAGATCTCTCGTTATTTTATCGACCTATCACCGTCCCTCCGCTACCCACCCCTCCGTACTCCCAGTCACATTCACTTCTGTAAAGTATGTTCCCCTCCCTTTTCCTTCTTTATCTCTTTTTTCACTATTTATACCGTATAAGAGTTTCATTTATTAGTTGTACATACTACCGAGTAACATTGTTATTGCTCTATCTCTATTATTGCTGATGTATCGCCGCTCTATTGCGCATTATATTAGATTATAAATAAAATGCAGAGGTCTTACGATTCGAATTCTCGTCTGCGCTATTTGTTATCCGCTCCCCCCGACGTCACTTAAAAGCGTGTCAGGTCCCCTCCGTGTCCTTTTCTCTCCTCCCAACCCCTATCGCGCGCGTATAGTGTAGCGTCTGCCGGTGCTTCCTCGAACACGGACGCGGCGAATTCGAGATTTAAAAGAGATTCCCGCGAAATTGAAATTGATTGTTCAACTTGGAGCGCAACGGCGGAGGCGTGCACGGTCACGACCGGTGAGACAGAGAGAGAGAGAGAGAGAAGACTCCGGATTCCGTCGGATCGTGTGTGGGCGGATGCGGTGGGAGAAGGAGGAGAGGGCACGGGACAAATCGAAATAGACAAATAGACACCGTTGTGTATCCCTTTGAGAGAATCAAACAGGTGGCGCGGAGGTGCGCGCGAAGACAACGGTGGAGCGAGGAAGAGAAGTGTCCGGGGCGGAATAAGACGGGGAAGCCGAGGCAGGGGAGGAGAGGGAGAAGAAGACGAAGTACGTGGGGGCGAAGGGTGAAGATGTGCGACTCGCGGAAATGCCCAAAGAGACACACAACACTCCTACAAATGTAGCGATTTATTTCCATTAAGGTATAATTAGGAGTGAGCCTCGCTCGTACCGCGATCCGCTCGAATCCTCCTTCCCTCCCACCGAGCGGTTCCGTTCCGCCGCGCGCGCGCGCGCGCGCGAATACACATCCGAGACACACGGCGTTGCGTCGCACCAGCTCGCTGCGTCTCGGAGACGCGACGTCTCGTCTCAGAGCGCTCTTACCTCTCGAGGATGATCGTCGCGAATTCCACCGTTGAAAAAATTCCGCGGCTTCCCTCGATGCGGTACGCTCGATTGTGTTAGTTTTCACTCCCCTTCCCTTCTAATCCGACGGAGAACAACCGGAAACATGGTGCCGTTGACGTGCTCGAGATCGCGCGTTTGAGAATCATAACAATCGCGGCGCTGACCGCGCGTCGGTTCTTCGACGTTTCGGGATTGGAAAGGGTCAGAGTGAACAATCTGGCGACCGGCAAGGGGAGGAGAAGGAAGCGGGGAGGTGTACTAGGCTATGGTATCGGTGGAGCAGCCACGGGGCCACTTCCGTGTGTCCCGGAAACTCGCGTAGAGACTCGACTCACAATTACAGAGCGACAGCGGCTCGGCAGGGAGGAAAGGAGGGCGGAACCGGCAGGAGGGAAGATGGAAACAGAAAGCCCAGGGGGGCTGAATTTGCATCCGGCAAAGCAACCTCGGACTACTTTATTTGATTGGCTGCCCGCAGGGCTGCCTTCTGTCCCTACATGGACAAACCTACACGAATCCCTTCGTGTGTTCCCCTCCCCCCT